GTAGAAAGTAGAAAAAAGGTAACGAAATTGAGATTAATCATTAAATTAGCACTTACCTACAAATTGAAACCAGATATTAATACAATGTAACAAAAAAATAAGTGTTTAGGTTTTACAATTATTTTAATATAAAGATAGGAGACGAAAAATTAGATGAAGTGGCCGATTTTAGATATCTAGGAAGTCAAATAAAGAAGGCGCAGTAGGGATATTAAAGCAGAGGATAGCGCAGGGTCGAATCACCTTCAGTAAAAAGAAGTCACTTCTATGCTCGCGAATGGTTAATTTAGAAATTCGAAAAAGGTTGTTAAAGGTATATGTTTGGAGCACGGCGTTGAACGGGTGCGAAACATGGACAGTGAAGATTAGAAGCGTCCGAAATGTAGTATTACAGGTGAATGATGAGGATACCGTGGATAGAGAAGGTTAGAAATGAAGAGGTATTAGAAAGAATAGGAGAACAGGGGACTCCATGAAAGTCAATAAGAAATAGGAGAGATAGGTTAATTTTGTCAGACATGAAGGTCTGGTTAAAGACATATTAGAGGGAGAAACGGAAGTTAAGAGGGGTAGAGGTAGACCTAGATTAGATTACTTATCGCAAATATTTAAGGATATGAGTTGCTCTAGCTTTAGAGAAATGCGAAGATTAGCGCAGGATAGGAAGGAGTGTCCAACCAGTCTCAGGACTGACGACCTTATGATGATGACTATACAACCGTGGCATCATGAGGAAGAAACTTTTATGTTAACTGTTATATAGATTTACACATATATGTTTAAAAATATATTACCTTTATATGTGTGTGTGTGTATTTGTCGGGATTGTTCTTATGGAACTTTACATTTGCTCTTTAATGGCAGAGGGTATGTTATCAGCAGTTATCAGAAAGAGCTGCTTTCAAAGGTAGATAAGTCATGATAAATTTAGAATTTCTAACAGTTTTAAATTTAACAGCGTTGTACGTTTAGAATTAGGCAGTATACTAAATTATTTGTCATTTCGATATAGTTCTTGTGTTCACTTTTCCTCGTCTCAATCAATATGAAAGAACTGTTACAATTTCTGTCGTTTGTTGGTATCCCGAGATAAAAATGTCCAGTCTCTCAGAGTTTCTGAAAGCGAGACTCGAGTCTCCGTCTCTCATCGAGTCTCTCTGGTGTCGCTGAGAGAGACTGTCGAGTGACTGTCAAAAAAACTATTTAGCGTCACTGTACGAGAGACTCGAATCTCTGAATTAATTTTATCGTTCGAGTCTCTCATACAAAGACTGCGAAAGATTCATAAAAGAGATACATAAAAACACTGAGAGACTGTGAAAGATTGTGAGAGACGCTCTCAGAGACGCTGAAAGACTCTGAAAGACTGAGAGACTGGAGAGAGACTAAAAAGTTTTGTCTAGGGATATCAGGTTTTGATTAACAATAACTGCGATAACGCTTTTGTCACCTTGTAGACTTTTAGTATTTACAAACGTTATAGGCTCATCTCAACGGTTTCAATTGAACTTTCTCGATGAAATTCTTTAACCAAGGATTAAATGATTATTGGTTAGGATTTTAAACGACTTCTTTAATGGAACTTAATGTGGTTTGAAACGTTGGTGAGGGTGACATTTAATGGGAGAATTGAACGAAAACGTTAACCATTAACCATAGTGATTTTGCCGTGGTACCCAGTTATTCGGTACCCAACAAAATTACTATCCGGTACATCTCTAGTAGCTACCTACCAGCTGACCGCAAACGATGCCGACTTGCCTGTTTACAGACAAAGGGTCAAAGTGCAAAGTAGTCGAAAATTGGTTTTGTACTTAATTATTACTTAAGGTATTATAGCCACAACATCAACTCTTCTCCTCGAATTTTCTTGACTTTAATTTTCCCAGAGTCAGACCAGACTACCTATTCCTCAGAAAATCCTGAGAGGAAGGAGCTTCCTGGTGCAAACTTCTTACTTTTTATATTTTTAGAATATAACACATGAATACCGTATATGGGCGAAGAAGCAGTAGTACGTAGAAATTGGTTTTCGTTCATAAACATGTGTTATAAAGATTATGATTGCCAATTCCCACCTGCTCCGACAACGAATACTACTAATAACTTTGCAATTAGCGTTATATCATGAAAATGTGACAACTAATTGCTTCATTAATAGAGAGTGCACGGTCCACTTGGAAACAGAAAAAAAAATGAACGCGGAGAAGGGAAATAGGGTTATAACAAAAACCCGTAAAACTGTTCCTTCCACTTTAGGCTTCTGTCAATTTACTGGCGGCAACTGTTCCTTCTGTTCTGCATTCTGCGTCCATTTAGTACAGTAAATTAAAAAATTAGACATTCAGGAGCTAGCGGACGGACAGGTGGTGCTAATAAACGTAAAATAAATCCATGAGTTATGGGATCCGTTCCATCAATTCAGATTACTGGAACTAATGACGACCCATGCGCAGCGGTTTCGTTTTCGACGCGGTGGCTGTGTAAGATTTGTGCATGGGTACGTCTGTGTAGATATTCTTCTGCATGTAACCACGTACGCTTTCATTACTTTCGTGGAGATCTCGTTAAAAGATTGCCATGAGTATTGAATGACTTGAGAAGATCGTGGAAAAACATAAAGAGTGCTTCTAACCAAGGCACCTGTGTTAATGAGTCTTTTTGTTCTCACTCACCTAAATGCATATACCTACATACGTATGCATCTACATACAACACATAGGGATTCTATAAAATTTTATTAGACTTTCTATTTCCTGTGTTAACTGAACGTTAATTGTATATAGGTACTGCCGTAAATATAAAACAACGTTTTTCATGAATGATTACTTAACATCTGAACAAATGACGACTTAAAAAAAAAACAATTGTATAGATAACGTACATACGTATAATATGAACAATATAATGTTTAAAATTAATTCTTTTCTGACACACTTTAATGAGAAAACAGGAGGGGAAAAAGGTTCTGTTAAAAATAACACGTGCCGCAAGACGGTCTAAGTTAATTTTATGATTTTTGAAAATTTTTCGTGACAAATATTATTTTCTCTGAAATATCAACAAATTCGTAAAACAGATGAATAAAATTTCTAAACTTCTTCAGTTAATAAATAATACAGCATACCTTATAGTCGTTTCTCTAATAAATATAAATAATGTACTACTTAACTTAATTCAAATTCATGTACAAGATCTGTTGAAAAAGTATCGCCAATTTTGTGTTTCTTCAAAAATTATTTATTTATTCATGAATATTTATTTTGTTCAGGATTTATGTTGATGTACTTTTCAATGACATGAGTGCGAACCATGATAACGTTGTTGGAACGGGTGGCAGTACGGCAACACCTAACAGTAAATCATATCCCGCTGTGCCTTATTCATCGGAGCATTTTCATTCAACTTGCGAAGTTAACAATTACAATGATGCATACAATGTCAGAAACTGTGAGCTTGTTGGATTAAAAGATTTAGACCAGGTAACTAACTAACGTCTATTATTTTGTATAGTAAATGAATTGTAGCCCCAAAATGAATTAATCTCGAAAATAAATCAACTTCAAATCATGCTTTGAAAGCACTTTTCAACTCTGAAGTGGGATAAATTATGATTAATTTTTGTTCGAAGACTAGTACAAGATTTGAAAGATGTTTTTGTTTATCTACATTAACATTTGCTACAATAATTAATAATCCATTTAGTGCAAAAAATTCAATTAGTAAATATAATCCTTAAATTTTATTCACATCTATTCGGTGGTCAAAAATAAGCCTTATATACGCTTTAGAAAGCACCACAAATGGCGCGGTAAACGCCATCTGTATTAGTACGATGCTACATTTTAGGATTACGTATGCTTCATTTAAATATATGGATGTCTACTTGCTGAAAGGAATCCCGGCGTAGCTAACCTCAACGTCATAGGCACGTTACCATAATCGAATAAAATAATTCCAAGTGGTCTGTATTCTGTCGAAACTGCCAGACGCGTATCACGATTTCGATCTTTTTGGATCTCATCAGCGCGTCGCAGACAGCTCCGACAGAACACAGACCAACTTTTACCTGCTGTCTAAACAGCGCATTTTAGAAAATACCATAAATGCCGCGGTAAACGCCATCTGTAGTACGATGCTACATTTTAGAATTACGTATGCTCCATTTAAATATATGGATGTCTACTTGCTGAAAGGAATCCAGGTGTAGTTTACCTGTTGTCTTAACAGCGCGTTTTAGGAAACACCAGCGTGGTATACGCTACAAAATATTAAAATCCAACTATGAACTAATAAAAACCGTTCAAAAACACTCAAATTATGTATAAACAATCACCAACTGGAATCTGCAACCACGTATCTTTATTTATCTTTTAAATGCTCCTCCTTTTTGCGCCAATTTATATTATATTCGCCTGTTTCTTTTGCTTTCACAAACATTTTTCAACCTTACCAACGTTCAGTTCTTTAATGTAACATATCTCTAAATCCTTTCATTAAAGAAAACATTTTATCCATTAATTATACCAATACTCGTTTGCGGTCAAATGTTGTATAAAAGATAACTCCTTGTCTTGTGCAACACAGTCAAACAGCTACGTTAGAGAGAAAATGGTGGAATTCTTGAATAAACTCATCAGCTATGGAGTTGCTGGCTTTCGGTTTGATGCGGCCAAACACATGACGCCTTCCGATTTAAAAGTTATTTATCAATCCACAAATAACCTCGACACTTCTCATGGATTCGCAGAAAATTTGAGGCCCTTTATATATCAAGAAGTAATCGATTTAGGTAACACATCAAATCTCTTTTTAAGAATGAATGAAAATCTAAACATTTAGACGTTTCAATAAAAGTAAATATTACTGTACTTCAGTACGTATTGAATTATTCTTAAAAATGACAATTTCGTTGAAGCATTCAATTGTTTATTTTTTTGTTGTCTTGCATGTTTCACTATAAGTGACTACTGATTACGATTCTTTAAACAGGAGGCGAAGCAGTTAAGTCTACCGAATATACAGACTTGGGAACTGTAACAGAGTTTAAATACAGTGCCGAAATAGGACGCGTATTTCGGGGTAAAGATAAACTAACTTATTTAAAGAATTGGGGAGAAGAATGGGGACTTGTTCCCGGACTAAATGCTTTCGTTTTCGTCGATAATCACGATAACCAAAGAGGCCATGGTGCCGGCGGTGAAAATATTTTAACGTACAAAACTGCAAAACAGTACAAAATGGCAATTGCCTTCATGTTGGCACATCCTTATGGAGTCACCAGAGTCATGTCTAGTTTCTACTTTGACGACAGTGATCAAGGTATGTTCAGTTAATAAACCAAAATCAAAGTTGTTGATGTATTATATATTTAAATGGTTTGAAATATTGTAAAAGTGGTACGAAAGTCGACGATTCGGTCAAATAATTTGTATGGTTATTTTCACTTTTTGATTTTCCAAATTTAGAGCCCTAAGTAGCTAATAGTTAGATATAATAAAATATTTTCAGTCATTTCTTTTGCATAACACTTTCATCATCATCATCATAAGATCGTCCAAATAACGAACGATAGAATTAAATAAAATAAAAATAATAATTATTTGATGATTTCGACAATAAAAGCTCTATGGGAACACCAAGATTTCCTTCCTTACTGTAAAAATTTGATTTCAGGGCCTCCTCAAGACGGAAACGGAAACATAGTATCTCCATCGATCAAGGATGATGACACTTGTGGAAATGGCTGGGTTTGTGAGCACAGATGGCGTCAAATCTACAACATGGTAGGATTCAAGAATGCCACATTAGGTACAACTATCAAAGAATGGTGGTCCGATGGTAACCAACAAATTTCATTCTGTCGTGGAAATGCTGGATTCGTGGCTTTCACTAACGAAGGTGATTTACGACGAAACTTACAGACATGTCT